TCTAAGCGACGCAGTCTATCACCCTCATTTCGCAAGATAAACATTTTTACTATGTGCGGTTTATAAGAGTCATCCATGCCAAACCCTTTTTTTAAGCTAGAAGAACTCGGGGATACCACGATGCGATGTTTTGATCACCGTAACTAGGTTATCATATTTAGCAACTTTCCAAGAGCCATACGTGTATAACTTATGCCTGCGTGTCAAGAAGTATATCTGGGAGTCTCATTACAAGAATTATCTGGGTTTCTGTGTGTGTGTGCAGCTGTTGATAGTAGTTATGGTTGTGAACACTTCCAATGGTCATAATTCTCTTATTCTTACCGTATCATTACAATAGTTTTTTTATTTATACTAATATCATGTTCACCGAAGTCTCAATATCATCTGTTTTTCGTAAAGAAATAGATATGTATAACAAATAATCTTCGTATTTATTGATATACTGTCGGTGAATCTGCCGCCCACGTTATTTTACACTGCTCGCTAGATAACATTTCCGCCAAAGATAAATTTTAATGTAATATACTGTATACTGTACACAATACAGTACTGTATGTGTCGCTGTATTATGACCGAGCGTCAACATTGAAGGTCTTTATGCTGATACTAGTTAGTTAAACAGCACACTAACGTATTTCAGTACGCAATCAAACCCCATGCACTAATTAGCTGGGGGGAGGACATAAAAATATTTAAGACGTCATATCTCCCTGAGTTGGTCATAACTTAAGCTACGATGTCTTTTTTCGCTGTGACTCGATACTCAAAACAAAATTAAAATTAGGATTATTAATTTTAAGTTTGAATGGATTTCTGAGAACCATTGCGAGTTACATCCTTTTTCTAATATCAATATAAAGTAATTATCATGTACGAACATCGGGCAACGGTACTGCAAACTTGTTGGCAGACGACAAGTGTTCACAGGAGTCATGCACCTGTTGCGTTGTCACAGCTGTTCGACAATTGTGTATTATTGCTAGAATATAAATTATGGACACAAAATAATACACGTTTATACAGAACATAATAATGATCTTTGTTCTTTGCACATTATCTGCGAAATGCTATCAGGTATTACCACACACTATCACATTACGTGTTTAGTATCATCAGCACCTACCATATAGCGTTCAGATAATACACACGTAATACCGGAAATTCGTACCCAGTGCACCTGCTTGATTATGAGGTGGGTAGGGAAGAGTTGCCAGGTATGCTTTAGATGTTCTGTTACTACCACGCTTCAACAACGAAGGTCTGTAAGAGCGTAACAAAGTTAGTCATCCACTAGTCGAACAACATTAAAATTTGAGATTGAACTCTCTGTCTTACTTTATATAGCTAGTTATTCAAGATTTATGATAGGAGATTGCCTCAGAATACCTTTCTTATATATTAATTAATTAGTATCGTTGTGTGAAATGTGGGAAAATAATGTTATAGGGAAATATATGACATTGTTTTAGAATGACTCCTTGACAGCAGTACAAATAATCATACTCGTCTGCTTCCCCAGTTATGAATCAACCTGCACCAATTACATTCTCAATAACATTATATTCCCGCATTTAACAGATGGATACTAATTAAGTTATATACAAGAAAATGTATTGCTAGGCAAATATTACCACATCAAATATTCAAGTCAAAGATTAGACTAAACAAGTCTTGAACAAATAACTAAACTAACGATCTTGGCGTATTTATTTAGATTTCTGGTCTGGTTAAGTCAGCATTGATTAGTTCGTGTGGTTTGTTGTCAGAGATTATTTAGCTTGTAGTCTCTGACCTAACCATAAACATCAAACAGGTAATTGGGTTGTATTTGACAGGATGTAGTAGTAATTGGTATATCAAACTCCGACGTACCATTATGACATTCAATTACCAAGCATGCACTGTACCTGTTATCATTGTTATGTTATCTTGTGCGTGGAGCTCCATGACCTTAGGAACTCCTCCCATCAGTGATCTCGAACGCAACAAAGGCACCTCTAGCCATGGCCACACACACACACACACACTGCTTGGCGTATCCGTGCATTCAATAAAACAGGTCGAATAATTTCAGTTACTGTTTTATTATTATTAAGCACTTGGAGTTGATACCACCATACAATACTTATTGGTCAGTTCAGCTCAGAGAGATGTGGAGAAACAAATGCTGTGATGTCACTTCCCTGCGTCATGTGTTGATTTAAATAGAAGAATCGATGTTTAGGTGGTTGAAGACTCGAGTTGCTGAATCATAAAAATACATATAAGCTGGTTGTTGTCAAGCGGATAAATGATTATAACTAACGGTTCATTGAAGAATATAAAAACAGCACAAAAAGGCGTAAAATATATAACGATCTGTATAGTGACATTAGGAAAGGGGGGGGGGGGTCGTTTAACAAAACCTTTCAGTACAAAAGGGAGAAGAAACATGGAGTGAACAAACAATTTTGACTCATTGACAAAAATAATCAATTACAGTGGTTGGAACGAGGTTGTGCGATGATGTGTATCGGCTTGATTCTGTTGTGGTGCTTAACAATAAGTGGACAAGGACCCGAGGTGGCAGGTGAAGTTGGCGACTATGGTGCAACACCTTTATCCCAAACTGATATATGGTGGAATGAAGCCATTTTAGTGAGACCCTTTTGTAACGGGAATCCCACTGGTATCGTTGGAAGGTAAACTTTGGTTTCAACCTTAGGCAAGTCTTTCTACTGACCACTAACTGGTTAGGTTTTAGGCACTGTACAACACTGCTCTCATTTTTTTTATGAAAATATCACTTCTGCATCAGTCTCAGGTTGATCAATAATCACCGCGCTGTCTTCTTGGTGACAGCTGATTGGTATATCTTGGTAGAGAGGAGGGGTTGTGGGCAGGATTGATTTTTTTATTTTGATTTTGCCGCTTACAGTGGCTACTTTATTGTGCACCCCACACTCATCCTGTGAGCGGTAGCGCAAAAGGATTACAGAGTAGAGTTTACAACGGGTCATAATAATTAACCCCCGTTGTCAGGATATTATGGCACTAAATGTTACACAGTATTTCAATTACATTATTTGTTTAGTGTATAATATGGACACGAAGTAGTACCTTAAGCTGTGTATTCTCATATTACTCTATTAATTATGTATAGTAAAGTATTACAGAACATGTATTAATTCTATGTAATATTTCCATTTATTATGCACCATGTTATGTATATGAATTATCAAATTTACATTTTATGTATTCAGCTTGTGAATGCTGGCATCTGTACATGCCAGCGCGCAGTTTCTTGGTCCATCTATATACAGTATATCTCCCGTACGAGAATAAGAACCTATTTTTAAGATAACAAGTGTTTGTGTATACTCTCAGTAGTGTAGAACATTTTGGGGGCACCAAAGACAAACATAGATTTAGTTCTATATATAAAGGGTAACTTATTCACAAATGCGTGAGTACAGGCGTGTGAGGCAGTATGTCTGGCCTCACACTTTGTTATTCACATTTACGTGAGAAGTATTCAAGCACATTGTGTACTTGGTTCTGTACATGAGAACTGATATAGTTAGTAAGTGCAAAAAAGTGGATACAATCTTAATATGTCGACTATCTTGCCATTAGAGATGAAGTGTTGTGCCATTTCACACAGTGTGCTTGGACCTGTCCCTAAAAGGTTCTATCTTCACACAGTCGAGGACGTAGTGTTCGAGTGTGTGGCCATATGTCTGGCCACACACTTTACATTTAGTCTTGTTTGCATCTGCTTGAGGGACATACTGCCAGAGGTACTTATATCCTAACCTTAATCTAGCGGTTACAACATCTTGTAATCTAGTGATCTTGTTACTTGCTCCATATACATGTTTCACTTGATACATCTCATCATGGTAAACTATGGATCGACTAGTGCCTGTTTGCACTAGTCTACTTGCGTCAAACTCATCAATAAGTTCTTTCCTAATTACAGTTTTAAGGGTTCTTTTTGACAAACCCAAATTGTATTCAACTGTGTCTTTGTTAGACGCGAGTTTGGCGAGGGCATCAACTCTATCATGTTTTGTGAGGCCTGTGTGAGAGGGGATCCACAACAGTTTGACCCTGACACCCCGGTCAACAAGGCACGCATATTTGTGTCTGGCTTCAGAGACAAGAGCGTGACAATCTGAGTCGAGGGTACCAAGGGCAAGTAGTGAGGATAGAGAGTCAGTGATGATGAGACTGTCAGTGACAGTGGTTTCAACGAATTTAATAGCTGTGAGTATGGCAACTAATTCAGTTTGTAGAGTGGATGCCCCGTTGTTAATTCTAACTCCTTTCTCAATTATATTACCGTCAGGTTGAGTCACAACAATAGCACTTCCATCACTTATAGCACTTATCACCAGTCTGTAGAGTGTGTATGTGTTCAAGAGCTCTCAATTTGGCAGTGTGTTGGAGATAAATGCTTTGTATAATTAAATTTTTAGGGGGATATGTCGGTATTGTGATATCGAAGGGAACTGTCCGCCAGGGTGGCAGGAAGCGCTGTTGTGTCTCAACTTTGTACAGGTGGTCTAGTCCAAACATCTTCATATGTGTAGCTGTAGTTTGGATCCATTTAGACTCACCAGTCCCATGGTTCATACATTTTAGCAGTTTTAAGGAAACAATGTTATCAGGATCACCACGCAGAAGCCTCAGGGCTCTCATGAGATTGACTTCAATTATTCTATCTTTAACACTGGGTATACCTAGTTCTTTCGTCATATTAAGTACTTTAGTGCTCATGGGACATCCTAGGATAATTCTGAGGGCTTTATTTTGCATTTTCTCGAGCTTGTCAACGCCTTTCCCGTCACGAAGGACCAGGGCTGGTGCGTGGTAACCTATCAGAGATCTTATATAGCCTAGGTACATTGTTTTAACAATTCTAATATTAGCAACATAGTGTGGGCTGTACCCCGCTACACTTCTAAGAGGTCTCAGTCTGTCAGTACATTGGCGAGTTAGCTGTTGTATGGCAGGTAGGGTACAAGGGACGGAGACAGCAAGATATTTAAAAGAAGAAGGGGTTGTGGGGAGGAGGGTGGGGGTCAACAGAGTGACAGAGGCAGCTACAGGAGCACCAAACTAACATATCCTCACTCTATGGTGGTCAAGACGTGTATGAGCTGACCTCGTATACTTGCTTAAACACCTCATTTGTTTAAACAGAAATAAATATTCCTAAATAACAATAATTACCTTGTACAGTATATACCAAATATACATATAAAGATACACATTTCCTCAACCTCTTTGGTTAATAAAGTTCGCTTAACATCGAATACGATCAATTATTACGAATATATAAATGAATATATTACTAAACTGGCAAGCCTCTTGGTGGCGAAGGCTAGGACGGCCCACTGAAAAACACTTATGTTTTGAAACTTACGACATAATCCACCAAATGACCAACCTATGTTATCCCAATTCTATAAAAATATCCTCTAAAACTGTGATAATATAAATTTGACTTAAATCTCTACAAGTCTACAAGCGATATATATTTTTTCATTCATTCATTAGCAACACTAAAGCTGTGTTGATATTTTGTCATAGGAGTGACCATTGGTCTTGCGAGTGACGGTGGTCGGGTCAGGTAGTGTCCATCTGATCCAGGGGTGCACTAGAGACTTGTCGATACGTCGGCCTCCAGCCCTACCTGGTGAGTTAAGTATGGTTAGATATATGAACACATATATACATAAATATATACATATATACTACAACTGTGCTGTCACTCGGAATCGAGTATGGCGATCTTTCAGCAATGATAAAATGATATGAGTTATTAAGACTGTCACCTTCGTTGGTAAGCTTTGAAGTTACTCGAGAAGCCAATACGGGATCGACAGGGCCGTCCACAGATGTTGCACATATGGAGGGCAACATCTATTGTGAGAAGGGCGGCGGAAACATCTTTCCGGAGTTGGCGCTTGTCACCTTGAACGCCATTCTCTTTTGTCGGATCACCAGTATGGCTTTCGCCAAGCGAGATCTACTGGTGATCTGCTCTCCAATTGCACCCATCTTTGGTCATCCTCTCTTAGGGATTATGGGGAAACTTTCGTCGTGGCCCTCGACATCTCCAAAGCATTTGACAGGGTATGGCACAAGTCTTTGCTTTCTTAACTTCCCTCTTATGGTTTCTCTCCCCCACTTTGTTTTCTAATCTCTAGCTTCCTTGAGAACCGATCCATGGCAGTTATTGTCGAAGGATCGATCTCTCGCTCTTTCTCTACGAATAGTGGTGTCCCACAGGGTTCTGTTCTTTCACCTACTCTCTTCCTTCGTTTTATCAATGATTTACTGCACACTACAACTAATTCTATCCATTCTCGCGCTGATGATTCTACTCTTCACTCTTCTTCACATTTTCCCCTTCCTCCTAACTCTGGAATTAGATCTGTTTCTAGAGCTGATATCATTACTTCTATCAATGCGGATCTATGCAACATCTCTGAATGAGGAGGTACAAACTTGGTTAAATTCAATAGTAATAAAACTCAGTATTTACTAATTATACTTTCTAAATTAAATGATCTCCCACCAATTACATTTCAGGATGCTATCGTTCTGCCAAATTCTGAAATAGATATGCTAGGCCTCACCATTACCTCCAATATGTCATGGAAATCACACATCCTTAACATAGCTAAAGCTACCTTCCGAAAGGTGGGAATGCTGTACAGATGCCGCAGCTACTTCACTCCTGAGCAGTTGCTTCAAGTATATGAGGGATTCATTTGTCCTAACTTGGAGTACTGCTCTCATATCTGGGGTGGCTCTTCTTCTGTCCAGCTATTAGATAGGGTGGAATCAAAGGCATTTCGTCTAATTAACTCTCCTCCTTTAGTCGACAATCTCTCTTCCCTTTCTCTTCGCCGCAATGTTGCTTCACTCTCTCTCTTTTACAGGTACTTTAACGGGCAATGTTCGGTGAATTTGGCATCCTGTGTACCGCCGGCAAGGCCGTGGGCTCGTAACACACGTCTTGCCAGCGGTGCCCACCGTTTCTCTGTGGATGTCGGTCACACTAGAAAAACCAGTTATAGTATATCCTTCTTTCCTCACACAGCCAAACTGTGGAATGATCTGCCTTCTTCTGTGTTTCCATACTTATACAATCTGTCTCACTTTAAAAGGCTGGTTTTCCGGCATCTTCGTGGTCTAGATTAACACAGTATAACCTTTTTCTTCTCTATTTTTAATTTCTTTCTGTTCTTATTTTCTCGCCCCCCAGGCCACGTTCGACCTGTGCCCGGGTCAACTAATTCCCGTAAAAAAAAGAGAAAAAAAAGAAAAAAAACGTGAGTTGGTTTATGTGATGAGACAGGAGCGCAGACTGTAACCACACATCTTGGCTCTCTCCTTTCCTGGTCCAGTGGTGCAAGTGTTGCAACGACTGGGGAGAGAGTGAGATGCAATGGACTGCCGATAGCCTAGTTTGTCGGGTTTCGTCTTAGTAGCCTGTCCATCATGCATTGCCTTCATCCGCCTGTGTAGTCGTTGGGTTCCAATATTGGTCACCTCTTCCGCCCATTCCGCCGTTGGGGTCTTGCTGGAGCTCTGTAAGCATGTCTGCCAGCGAGGCTCCACTGAAGATTTTTCGTTCGAGATTTACTACTGTAGCCTTATGCCTACCAAGGTTAATCCACAAGGCAGTGGGGAGTGATTGGTAGGCGTTAGGGAGTGTCCATATATGAGCCATCCTTTTCTTTTTTTTTTTTTTTTTTAGAGAAAGGAGAGCGAGAAAAGAATGGGGGAGGGGAGGGAAGTTATAGTGTGTGTGTGTATACAAACACACACACACACACACACACACACACATACATGAAAGAGCTAAATGGTGCACATAATGAACTTGACCGAAGCTAAACCAATGTTCAACAAAGATTCCCGCCCAACAGAGATCAACAATGAAAAACCAGAGAAAACAACACAGTATAATAGTTGCAAGAAGTCGAGAGAAGCGGGAAAATGGTGTGAAATATCTTAGGAATTCTGTCAAGTTTTCAATAGCAACTTACTCTTTTCTCTTAAGAAAATGTAGACCACCTGAAGATGAGACCCACCCTAACGCTAACACAATTTAACCTAACTTAACCTAACTAATCCTAACTTAATCTAACCCGCTCAGGTATCATTAGGGTGGTTAATCTTCAGGTAAAACAAGAATTAGGGCAAGTAAAGTGAAGAAAATTATTCTAAACAGTACTTGCTAATTCACGGAGAAAGAGGAGGGAAGTACCTGTGGCGAGGCTGATCAAGACGCCTATCACAATGGCCATCAGCGTTCCCAAAGGCCCCAGCTGAGTGTACGAGAGGCAGAGAATCTTCTCCGGGAATTCCAGGTCGCTAACTCTGTGGGGGAGAATAAGAGTGTTTGGTGTGAGGATGAAATAGTGTTAGCTGATGAGTGACTGCTATTATCACCAAGTCAGGGACACTACTACTACTACTACTACTACTACTTCTTTGCTGTCACTCAGAATTGGGTATGACGATCATCCAGCTATGTTACAATGGTATGAGTTATTAGGGATGTCGCCTTAATTGGTGAGTTATGAGGTGACTAAAGGGGCCGACACGGGACCGGCAGGGTCGTTCACAGAAGTTGCACATGTGGAGGGCTATATTTAGTACACTAGAAGAGGCAGCAGCATCTTTCCGGCGTTGGCGCTTGTCTGCCTCGGTATGCAGTCGGGCTGACTCAAAATTACTGAGATCTTCTTTTGTGGTGCTCCTCCAAGCGTTACGGTGCGGAGTAATCGTCTCCCAGGTGAGGGGATCGATTTGGCACTTTTTCAGGTTTGTCTTAAGACTATCCTTATACCTTTTCAGTTGCCTGCCAGTGTTACGTTTACTATTCGTTAGGTAACTGTAAAGCAGCTGCTTTGGCAGTCTCCGTCGTCCATGCGGGTAACATGGCCAGGCCAGCATAGTTGTTCATGGATAATGGTAGCATCAATGCTCCTATAGTTGGTGTCAACGAGAATACTGGCATTTGTTCACTTGTCTTCCCAGCGAACTCGGAGGATGGGAAATAGACTATGTTGATAAAAATTTTCAAGTGCCTTGAGGTGCCTCCTGTATGTGACCCATGTCTCGCTGCCATACAGCAGGGTGGGGAGGACCACTGCTCATTATACGTGCAGCTTTGTAAATAATTTCAGATCCCTACTGCTGAAGACACAGGTACAGAGTCTGCCAAAGGCTTGAGATGCACATCTGATCCGATGTTGAATCTCTTCATCGATGTCCACTGTAGTTGAAAGTTGAGAGCCGAGATACCGTAAGTTGGTAACATTAGAGAGGGTAGTACCGTTAAGCTGGATGGATGGTGAAGGTGTGGCTGAACCAGGGGCAGGTTGAAAGAGAATCTGAGTCTTGAGTAAATTCACCTCAAGGCCAAAGTGTGCATACAGATCTCCATAGGTGTTCAGGATCTCCTGTAGGTCGCGTTCAGTGTGGGCGACAAAAGAGAGGTCGTCTTCATATTGAAGCTCAGTAATGGAAGCTGCCAACACCTTTGTTCCTGCCTGGAGTCATCTTATGTTGAAAAGACCCTTCATCTGGTACTCGATGTTCACCCTGCCGGCTAAATTGGCACTGGCACGAATAAGGAAAATGGAAAAGAGATTTGATGCCAGTACACATCCTTGTTTTACCCGCGTTTGGATGGGCAGTGGGCATGCGCCGGCTCCTGAATGTATCTGAACCTGCTCCAATGCTTGTCAAGTCTGGTCTTGAAAGAGCTCACACTCGGTGCCGTCACAACACTTTCTGGCAGGTTGTTCCACGAGTTCACAACTCTCACTCCGAAAAAGTTTGTCCTCACAGTTATATGGACTTGCGGCTTCTTCAACTTGAGCTGTGACCCTTTGTAGTGAGAGTGTCCACCAGCTCCAGGTATGGACACTAGACTGAGCATTGCTCTTTGAGATGTTTATACACCTTAATTATGTCCCCCCTTGCCCGTCTGTAGTATAAGCTATATATAGGCAATTGCAGGCGCTCTAATCTCTCTGGGTAGCCGAGGTGCCGAAGTGCTGGCACCATTCTGGTGGCCCTCCTTTGGACATTTTCAATCAACTGACAGTCCCTAGCATATCTCGGGGACCAGACGGGGTGACAGTTCTCCAGGCGGGGAAGCCCCTCACTCTTGAAGATTGTTACGAGGGACGGACCGTATAGATATCTGGACGACCTTTTTATAAGACCTAATAATTTAGTTGCTTGATTCACGTTCTTCTTACAATGGCCCGAGAACTTCGGTTCAATGTCAACATACACACCTAGGTCCTTTTAGTATTCAGTCTCAATTAATGCAGTTTCTTCATCTCGTTAGTTAAGAATCTTTATCATGTTAAAAACATTCATACTCTCGTGTGTCGTTTAATAACCGACCAACGAGTGTGTGTTTATCATTCTGAACGCTGTTCCCATGTCTCATTGTGTGTATGTGCATAACTTTCTTGCTGCCTTGAAGGGTAACTGAGAGAGAGACACGATGTCCAACTCCATCTGGGAGCTGTGTTGAAGCTTCTGAGTTTAGCAGAGCGTGTACCAGGGTGCACCAGAGTGTGTGACCCCAAGGCAGTGTTGACTTCAGAGTGGTGAAGCCGAGTCAGGCTTTGTAGTGTTATTGATAGCCAACTTGTATGTGTTAAGTTATCCTGTATGTTTCAGTATGGACGGGTTATAATTATGGTAACAATATCAGGTTTAGTACTGAAAGACAGACTAAGTTAGTACAGCACTAGGACTTCCTGTGTTTGTTATGGATGTTAAGTGAATCAGCTGGACTTACAGCTGATATGTGATGATGGGATATCTCTCTGATTCCTAATACAATAGTGTATTAAGTAATCACCAGTGTGATCTATACCCAAGAGGCTTAATAGTGCTATAATTAATAGTATATTTGTGAGTGTTATTTAAAAGTAGTGGAAGGCGCCATTATTTATTTGGCTCACTGTACTAGAGTATTACCATTGAGCTGTTACAGTTTTTATACTCACATTGTGTGATTGTTATTTGAAGACCTACACCCTAATGACAAAGTAAGACCTATGGGTGTTGATTTTTGTACAAGTGTTAAAGACGAGTAACATTTATTAAGTATTGACTGAACCTAAGTGGGAGTTCCGTTAATTTGTGATTGATGATTCAAGATGTTCAAAGTAATAACATTTGCTTTTATAATTACCGAATTACCAGTTACAACTCACGCTCCTTGACCTCTCTGCCAGCTACCACGTTAATTCTGAGGTTTTAGTGTTGAAATTATACTATATGATCTGACTAAAAATCTGGGTGGTGGCAGCAATACAATTTACTAACTACTGGAAAGAATATGTATTATTGTATAATAAAATGGGTTCCCAGATACTCCCACAGAATATAATATAAGTAAATAAATTGAAACTAATGATAAAGCAGGAAAATTAATAATTATAAAAACCTGACCCATACAATTTAAACGAGATTGATCGGAACTGAAGAAGGTTGATGTGAGAGGAAACAAACTGCAAAATATTAAGATCGTTTATATATTTTTAGTAACTGCATTCAACTCAAAAACTGACCAAATGATCCAACTCTACAGTACCTGAGAGGCGGGGTGGACGGAGGTGGGGGGATGGTGAAGTTGGCTGGGCAGGCCTCGGTGGAGGTGGGCAACATCTCGAGTTTGACTCCTGTAATCGAGCTGCCAAAACTGAAGACCAGACCAATTCCTGTCCCAAAGATCATCCCTCCACACGCCCCCTGCACATGTGAGGGTCAAGAAATCAGTTTTGTTGATAATATAGATACAATAGTGAGGTAATTCGACCGAGAGAACGCAAGTGATTCCCCTTGTTAGATTATCTTCTGTAACGACTAATGAACTATATAGAAATGAAAGTTTATTACACCGAGGGTCCATTAGATATGAAACCCTCCATCTGACGGAAGAGAGAAGTCCGTTATATGAAGGTTTCACTGTGGAGTAATAATGCGTGGGAATAATTGAGTCGAGGTGTGTACACTATGAGGGGGTGACTACCATAGGATGCCCGTTACCTTTGAGTTAGTGAAGGGCATGAAGAGAGCCATGATGAACACACCCAGCAGGGGTCCACCCACGGAGGACGTGACGACGATGGCTGCCTGCAGGACGCCTCCTAAACTGCCCGCCAAGAAAGCAAAACCCACCGCCAAAATCCCGTAACCAAAAGCTAAAGATAAAATGAATTACTCTAAACATACAGGTAAAATAATATATATTCTGTAAACATAACAAATATACAGTGAAGTCAGCTATCTTAGGTTAGGTCTCAGCACGGCGAGACATCATGCTCTGACTTCAAAAGCACAAGGAATTAATAACAAGATGCCATGTCACTAAGAACTTAAAATATGCCCGACAAATAGAGAAAATGCAATTGAAATATAATAGAAATACTACGTGTAAAAATAAGAACAAAATTTACTAAAAATCACAATATAAAATTTAATAAATCGGCCAAAGATGGTGAGCTGACGAGGTATTTGGCTGCTTTATAAACTCACCCAGCAACTTCGTGAGCCAGACCTGGGTTCTCTTACTGAGGGAGGCGCAGCTGGGTATCTTAGCGAACACATCTTCCCAAGTGACTGCTGCCTGAGAGTTGACCCCAGATGAGATGGTACTGAGGACGAAAGGTGAGGCATTGAGCTGGTTATTTTACAAGACCATACCTACAGTACATACCTTACTGGAATACCGCATTAGAATATCCACGATAATATACGAATTCAAGATCTGAGTTAACTTTGCTTGAGTATGTTGATGATCAGTGAAAATAAATATAAACTTTAGATTTGTATATTTCATTCGGCAAGCTTTATAGTACAGTCAACCCTCGCTTTACGCGGTCCCACATTCAGCGTTTCCACGTTTACGCGGTACCCTGCCGAAACCGGAATGCTCACATTTCGGGGTGCATGTGCCCCTTCACGCGGAGAGCGGCGCGAGCAGGGTGCGCACAAGGTCGCCCAGTCATCAAAACATTACCGAGTTCTTCACCCGCCACCCACCACAGCCGGCAGTCAGTGATAGTGATAATTATAGTGAGGATATGGACTTATATGGACTTTGAGGGGTTTGAAAAAGAGGCCCTGCAAGCCTCTGTGGTGGATAGTGATACAATTGATACAAGTGATACAGGTGAGGGCCAATAATCTGCCCTCTGCCTCGGAACCAACCCCCCATCCCCGTGTGCCCAGCCATCTTTTCTACTAATGTAAGTGTTAAAAAATCTAATATTATTGATATTTCTCTTAATTAATTTCTCTTAATTGTGTGTGCATACCATCATAAAATTAAGAAGTTATTTTTACTACAACATAGGTATTGTGTCTGAAAAAGTGGAGTTTGGGGGTCGGCCCGGTCTCTATTTCAATTAATCCCATATGTTATGTTGTTCACTTTACGCATTTCTCACTTTACGCAGGCCGCCGTGGGTTGAATTAACCGCGTAAAGTGAGGGTTCACTGTACTGTATTTCAGAGGCATCCACACAAATTTATCATTGAGGACGGAGGTTATATTAAATAGCTCTGCTAAGTACGTCCTGTCAACGTGATAGTTGAGTGAGGATGAGTAGGAACCCATCGAGGGAGAACGGAAATATATAGGACGTCCTCCCTCGAGGAAAGATGGAACCATCCACGATGGCTCTCAATAACGTCTTCCTCTAGTCAGGGTTATCAAACTACTGCCTGCAATATATTAAAGAAATTTAGAAATTTTCCATCTAGAATATAACTATGTACTATAACTGACTATATGAAATATTAGGGATTTATGTGAGTCCTGAGAGGGACATTCCTGGACTGGGGTGGGGATGACTTATGTCACTTCATCCCTTTGAGATGTATTAATGTTTTTTGTATCTCAATAAACGTATCAATCAATCAATAGGTGGCCAGAGAGCCAGTTACTTAATGCTTAACTCAGCACCAAGTAACGTGACTTCCCGTGTATAGATATGTAAATGCCAAGATACGTGAACACGCCTGACGGCAAGACTCTGTTACCATTCATTGTACCATTTATTCACATGTCTGTATTACTATATATTATTATAGCATGTCTGATATCTATGCTTATGTCTAATGCCTATGTCTACTTACTATGTCCCGCGCTTGTCAAGTAACTAGAAGATCTCATTTATTGTCCTAGTAATGTCTAGCAACTCTCCCTACCTAGTTAGCTAAATTCTCTCAGATCGGCTCAGGCCTGGCTACGACAAGGAGTTCCTTTTGCTCGCTCCTGTTTTGTACCTGTTGGTTATCCTGCCAAGTCTTGTACTTATGGAATATATTTACTGCTCGTGCTCTGGAGTTTGAAGAACCTTGTCTAGGATTACATCCCACCACACCGTGGACACACCTTATCACGTGCTCTGAACATGAACCTCATAGAGTGGAAAGTTACAGGGGATGATAGTTATACAATTCTAATGTAATTAACCCATTTATATAAATACCTCTGCCTATAAGACTGGGGCTAGTACAAGTGTGTGTGTGTGCTAACGTAGAATGGAAGCTTACAGATTCGAGTTGTTAAAGCATAGCTATTCATTACAACATTAACAGGTAAGAAAGATAGAAATTCATTATTTACATCAGCAGGTAAAACATAAAAAAGTAATGAATCTTTAACATCAACAAAATCAAAAGATAAAAAGCGCATATATTAATTAAGCAACTTACCTGAGTGACCCAGAGAAGAGCGTGGCGATAAAGAGACCAGGCAGGCCGGTAATAGAACTGAGGCGGTCCATGACAAAGAAAGGCAAGATCTGGTCCTTGTGGGCGATGAGGCCAGCCGCTAGGGGGTCACAGCCCTCGTACGTCGCGAAGATCACCAGACCTAAAACCATCATGAGTTGTTAGTTTAATAAGCCAAGTGTGTGTGCAATAATAATAATAATAATAATAATAATAATAATAATAATAATAATAATAATAATAGTTATAATAATAATAATAGTAATAATAATAATAATAATAATAATAATAATAATAATAATAATAATAATAATAATTAAAAGTTTATTGAAAAAGTCGGCAGCCCGAAGGCTGAAAATATACATCAGAAAAAATGACTTATTACATACAAAGACATGGGGTGGGAGGGTCGTTTAACAAAAGCTTTCATTACTAAAAGAAGAAGGAACAATGATTGAACACACAAATCATTATAGTTTACAGTTGATGGCCCGGGCTTGGGCTGGTCATGGAGACACCAGGTGGTGTGGTGTTCACGTGGTGTAGTAACTCGTCCGCGGGTGTTGATATGAAGGACCTCCCGTGGTCATGGAGACACCAGGTGGTGTGGTGTTCACGTGGTGTAGTAACTCATCCTCGGGTGTTGATATGAAGGACCTCACATGGTCATGGAGACACCAGGTGGTGTGGTGTTCACGTGGTGTAGTAACTCGTCCGCGGGTGTTGATATGAAGGACCTCACGTGGTCATGGAGCCACCAGGTGGTGTGGTGTTCACGTGGTGTAGTAACTCATCCTCGGGTGTTGATATGAAGGACCTCCGTGGTCATGGAGACGGTGTGGTGAGGTGTTCACGTGGTGTAGTAACTCATCCTCGGGTGTTGATGAAGGACCTCACGTGGTCATGGAGACACGGGTGGTGAGGTGTTCACGTGGTGTAATAACTCGTCCGCAGGTGTTGATATGAAGGACCTCACGTGGTCATGGAGACACCAGGTGGTGAGGTGTTCACGTGGTGTAGTAACTCGTCGCGGGTGTTGATATGAAGGACCTCGTGGTCATGGGACACCAGGTGGTGAGGTGTTCACGTGGTGCAGTAACTCGTCCTCGGGTGTTGATATGAAGGACCTCACGTGGTCATGGAGACACCAGGTGGTGTAGGTGTTCACGTGGTGTAGTAACTCATCCTCAGGTGTTGATATGAAGGACCTCACGTGGTCATGGAGACACCAGGTGGTGAGGTGTTCACGTGGTGTAGTAACTCGTCCTCGGGTGTTGATATGAAGGACCTCACGTGGTCATGGAGACACCAGGTGGTGAGGTGTTCACGTGGTGTAGTAACTCGTCCTCGGGTGTTGTGTGAGTGTGTGTGTGTGTGTGTGTGTACTTCAAGTAGAAAACAAACCATTTTAGTTTTTTGTTCAGAATAAAACTGTATACCTTAATTATAATAATAACAATAATAATAATAATAATAATAATAATAATAATAATAATAATAATAATAATAATAATAATAATAATAATAATAATGCCTAGCTAAGCACAGTGCCCTCCACAACACCCACTGACTTACCTGCAAAAATGGCCAGAGAGATGGCGAGTATAAACAGAGGTATCATCATCACTAGGGACCTGAAAGATAAATATTTAAATAAAAGAATAACACCTATTAATATATTTCTAGCTACAATCACCAGTTTATTAACAAACAATAATATATAATCTGGCGTGGTTGAAACTCCCCATCCCATTGTTTTTGAAACCATCGCCATGTATCCAATGTGCAGGGAACCATTGTATAAACCTCGCTATGATTGGCTGGATCTTCCTGTTTAACACATAATAAAGTTCATTCTGGTGTTGAGACATACGGTAGATATTTTTTAGTGAATTTTAACGTATTCTTATGCCTACCTTCCCTCTCTCTGGACCTACATCTATGTATACAGTGCAGTACAGAGTTGATGTATTTTTGTGTAGTGTATGGTAGGTTGTACTCACAAATAAGCTTGGGAGAGACTTTTGGTGCTGGCGAAACGCTGAACGGAGGTCTGTGAGCTGCCGTATTGAACGGCCGTCAAGAAGATACCTCCGATAATGATGTTGGCAACGGTGTGTCGTTTAAGGGGATCGTAGCCATATCTGTTGCAGTGACGAGGAATAACAAAGAATGAGGAACATACAACACTAGGGGGGAGGGGTAATACGAAGATTAGGCACTCTATTATTTCACTTGATGATTAACTAGTGTTACCTGTAAGGAAGGTTAGGTTAGGTTAAGTTAGGTTAAGTTAAGGGTTGATTAGGTTAAGTTAGGTTAAGTTAGGTTAGGTTAGGTTAAGTTAGGTTAAGTTAAGGGTTGATTAGGTTAAGTTAGGTTAAGTTAAGGGTTGATTAGGTTAAGTTAGGTTAAGTTAGGTTAAGTTAAGGGTTGATTAGGTTAAGTTAGGTTAGGTTAGGTTAAGTTAGGTTAAGTTAAGGGTTGATTAGGTTAAGTTAGGTTAAGTTAAGGGTTGATTAGGTTAAGTTAGGTTAAGTTAAGGGTTGATTAGGTTAAGTTAGGTTAAGTTAAGGGTTGATTAGGTTAAGTTAGGTTAAGTTAGGTTAAGTTGGGTTAGGTTAAATTAGGTTAAGTTATGTTAGATTAGATTAAGTTAGCTTCGGTGAAATAAGGTAAGGTTAGGTTAGGTTAAATTTGAGTAAGGTTAAATTAGGTTGGCGAAGGTTAGATTAAGTTATTTTAGGCTAGCTTAGATTATGTTAGGTTTGATTAAGTAAAGGTTAAAACAGATTAAACCGTACTTAAGCAAAAGCTAAACTTATAAAATATAAAACATGCTATAAATTCAACTCACGTATACGCCTGAGGTCCTGCCCTGTTATGTTTCACAGCCACCTCCCACACCTGCTGGACGCTACCTACATCTGCCACACCTTTGATGATGATGACAACAAAACCAATCATCAGGACACTAAGCTGCAACACATCAGTCCATACCACGGCCCTTATCCCACCCTGAACAACGCCGGAGAGAGATAGAAAATGATTAGGAATATTAACTACAGGTAAAAGTAGTTTAATATATGTAGGATGTACTGTTAGTGTTGTTTATTCTATACCTGTATTGTCTCTATGTATGTGTACTGTCTGTCTCCTTGTTTGACTATCCATCTATCTCTCACTTGGTACTATCTATTTACAAGGAAAAAGAAAACACGAAGTTCCCAAAAAGCGCTTTCGTGTAATTCACATCTTCGGGGGTGAGTACAGACTAAGGAGAAGTACAGAACAAGTTATATATATATACAGAGGAGGGTGAGATCAAGTCCACAGTGGTCAGGTATAGGTAATGACCCTACTAATCTCCTTAGTCCTTAGGTTAGGGTAAGTAAAGTTAGTGATATATCATAACATCAACTAAGTGTATTAACACCTAGAATAGACGCTAAAACAAATAATTATCAAAGCGTAATGACAACGAAAGAAAACAAACTATGGTTGTGTAAATAGTAGCGATGAGGCCGACCGCCAGGATGGAGGTCCAGAGAGGGATGTGAGTGAAGGAGGCGATGGCGAGCCCGGGGGTGTAAATGACGACCGACTGATACAACAACATCTGGACCACAAACATTCCCCCCGCCACACTCCTCACCCACCTGGAAGCGTAGCGATCTTCTAGGTACTGTTGGGGTCATAAACGAATATTAGTCAGGCACTAGTTAAAGCAATGGATATTTACATACTTTATTAGCGTATCATAGACTCCCCCCCCCCCCTGTGTAACCCGTGTCACCAAACAGCCAACCTATATGACCTTATAGCAAATCTATCCACCAATCACTTACGTCGTTACATGACTAATACAGTGATTATTACAGCAATGTTGCCGTTTGGAAACACGGATTACCACAGGGGGCGTATAAGCACATTTCCGCAACTGTACAAGTTTAGTGTATAGAAGATTCGTGCAACCTAGTCTAATACGGGTGAAGCCACACACAGCCATGTTGTTAATAATGCCTGAATGAATATAATAACCGCTGCCCCTCGTGTTGGAGGATGGCTAGGCCAAGAGCCAACGAAGAGTGAATTTTTTAAGGCGTAGAGTTGCATGGCCCAGTGTCAAGGAATAATCAAAGACCGGACAACTCACCAACTGCACTGGCTAACTATTATCCTGGAAAGTGATCAGCAAATTGATTAACATCCAAGTCACCAATTACTGCTGGATAGACAGAGGCAAATGGCGTTAAGAACTTCCCCATAGTTTCACCCTGCCCGGAGAGAAGACCTTGCTGATCACTACACTACAGGTCGCCATAATATTATAACGTGATCGTGGGCCCTTCGTGCCCGGTGGCGAGTCCCGTGGTACAGTTTACGGAGGCGTGAAAGTTCGAACGCTCGTGCTTGGTTTGCGAGCAACGGCCCTCCCGCTGACAGAGTACAACGACATCGTTTTCCAGATGGTCGTGGTTGTTATAATCATGGTCGTGGTTGTTATAATCATGGTCGTGGTTGTTATAATCATGGTCGTGGGTGATATAATCATGGTCGTGGTTGTTATAATCATGGTCGTGGTTGTTATAATCATGGTCGTGGTTGTTATAATCATAGTTGGTTGTTATAATCATGGTCGTGGTTGTTATAATGTGGTAATAATCATGGTCGGTTGTTATAATCATGGTCGTGGTTGTTATAATCATAGTCGTGGTTGTTATAATCATGGTCGCGGTTATCATGGTTGTTATAATCATGGTCGGGTTATAAATCATGGTCGTGGTTGTTATAATCATGGTCGTGGTTGTTATAATCATGGTCGTGGTATAATCATGGTCATAGGTCGTGTTATAATCATGGTCGTGGTTGTTATAATCATGGTCATGGTTGTTGGGCGTGGTTGTTATAATCATGGTCGTGGTTAATCATAGTCGGTTGTTATAATCATGGTCGTGGTTGTTATAGTCATGGTCGTGGGTTGTTATAATCATGGTCGTGGTTGTTATAATCATGCTCGTGGTTTTATGATCATAGTCGTGGTTGTTATAATCATGGTGGTGGTTGTTATAATCATGGTCGTGGTTGCTATAATCATGTCGTGGTTGTTATAATCATGGTCGTGTTGTTATAACCGTTGGTAGTTATAATCATGGTCGTGGTTGTATAATCATGGTCGTGGTTGTTATAATCATGGTCATGTCGGGTTGTTATAACCATGGTCGTAGTTGTTATAATCATGGTCGTGGTTGTTATAATCATGGTCGTGGTTGTTATAATCATGGTCGTGGTTGTTATAATCATGGTCCTGGCATGGTCGTGGTTGTTATAATCATGGTCGTGGTTGGTCGTGGTTGTTATAATCATGGTCGGGTTGTTTATAATCATGGTCGTGTTGTTATAATCATGGTCGTGGTTGTTATAATCATTGTCCTGGTTGTATCATGGTCGTGGTTGGTTATAATCATATCGGTTGTTATAATCATGGTCGGCTGTTATAATCATAGTCGTGGTTGTTATAACCATGGTCGTGGTTGTTATAATCATGGTCGTGGTTGTTATAATCATAGTCGTGGTTGCTATAATCATGGTCGTGGTTGTTATAATCATGGTCGTGGTTGTTATAATCATGGTCGTGGTTATTATAATCATGGTGGTGGTTGTTATAATTATGGTCGTGGTTATTATAATCATGGTCCTGGTTGCATCATGGTCCTGGTTGTTATAATCATGGTCGTGGTTGTTATAATCATGGTCGTGATTGTTACAATAAGGGTCGTACTTGAGACTAACACAGGTAGAATAAACCCCACACCTAATCTTTAATCTCAATAAACCCAGATTAACCTCACCTAATCAACAGGATTAGAGACCATTAGGATTGTACCACCAATACCGATACATTTCACACTGGATTAATAACAAAACATTTAATCACATTTCCAATAGCTAATGTCTTACGGATATCTTATCAAGTTGTGAGTCTTACATGTCTATATAATTATGTTTTATTCTTACAAATATTTATAGTTCGTTGTGTATTGTATTGTATGGTATGGTATTGAATGGTATAGTATGGTATTGTATCCGGCTGACAGCGTACAGCGAATAAGGGTGAGGCAAGTCCGTATACTTACATGGTTAATTAGGGTGCGTTTTCCATCGTAAATAAAATGGTTTATTAATGGCTTCCTAAAGAAACCATCGACATGGGACTAGGTTTGTTCCACTCTACGAATTTTTTGCGATTTTTCCTCCAAGTTTGATGAAAAACGATTGTGCCGTTTCGGCTGCACAGACAAACAAACAGACAGACAGACATACATTCGGATAGCGCTATAGTATATTAGATAATGCCACATTAAGTTATAATACACGAATATTATAACAGTAAGCACCTCAGTAAACAAAGGAAGAGACGTACCTCATATACTGAAGTAAGTTTGAGTTCGTAAAAAAATGGTAGGAAGACGACAGCGATGAAGATGACGGACACCTGGCCAGTACAAATGTACCACCACTCCAGGCCGTGGTAGTAAGCCTCCGACGGCCCACCTGCAACCACCACCACAGTTAGTCGAGGTTGTGGAGAATACGGAGCACAACATAATAATAATAATAATAATAATAATTAAAGGTTTATTGAAAAAAAAATTCTGCAGCCCGAAGGCTGAAAATATACATTGGACATAAATGACTTATTACATACATTGGTGGTTTAACAAAAGCCTTCATTAGGGAAAGGTAAAGGAACATACAGTGAACATACAGATTAATGTAGGTGTTGAACAGCAAATTCATAGTGTAGTAACTCCCTCCCAGATGGTGTTAGGAGGAACTCACGTGGTGTAGTAGTTCCCTCAGATGGTGTTATGAGGGACCTGGCGTGGTGTAGTAATTCCCTCGCAGATGGTGTTATGAGGGACCTCACGTGGTGTAGTAATTACCTCACAGATGGTGTTATGAGGGACCTCACGTGGTGTAGTAATTACCTCACTGATGGTGTTATGAGGGGCCTCACGTGGTGTAGTAACTCCCTCACAGATGGTGTTATGAGGGGCATCACGTGGTGTAGTAATTACCTCACAGATGGTGTCATGAGGGGCCTGACGTGGTGTAGTAATTCCCTCACAGATGGTGTTATGAAGGACCTCATGTGGTGTAGTAATTCCCTCCCAGAGGGTGTGATGAGGGACTTGACGTGGTGTAGTAATTCCCTCACATATGGTGTTATGAGGGACATGTGGTGCAGTAATTTTATGGATTATCATGTGTAAATATGTCAGCAATGACAAATGTAGGAAAAAGTCACTAATCTAACATAACTTAAACTTAAGCTCTTTACGAAATATCTGGAGTGTGATGGACAGCGCTTGCCTTCTATTCCACGAGTCGGTGGTTTGATCCCAGCTGTAAATGAGAACCTAAGTATACAGTTTACTGTATCCACGTCGCCTCTAAAGGGCAGTCATGCCTATAGGACCCACTTTCATGTTTTTTGTAATTACCATTAACTGAATATTTTTTATCGGAACGCGACGACTGAAAATACATTTATATAAAAACTGTAAACTATTTGAATACACAAACTTAAATAATGACATTGTAAGCTTAGTTATTTTAGTCCATTGGTTACATCTTCTTACACACCAAGTTACAGAAAACCCAAGTCATCAGTAACAGTTAAGGAATCTCTTCTCCCCAAATATTAACGTAGAGTTCTATCTCATAATTTGTTATCGTTGTGGGACATCAGTTAGCATCTGGCCGTCATGATGTGAAGGTCTGTGACAATGCCTGATGAATAAAGAATGAAAAACAGAGGAAAAGGGTGGATTTTATTGTGTATGCACTAAATATATAAATATATAGGCCTATAGGGTGCATCAGGAGGAAGGGTAATATTTCTGAGCCGTAGGCAGGTTTAAATTTAAATTCCCTAAAGTCTAGCCTTCAGCCAGGGCACCGGATGTTGAGATAAATACCTATTTGTTGCTTAGAACTGTTGTATAGCCTTGTCATCTGTAATGTATCTAGTGGCCATATTAATCAATTGAAAAGCTCAACACATGTATGTTTATATTCACTGATTTACTGTAATAGTTTGGGGAAACAGAAAATTATAATAATTACAGTCATTACAATTTGTATTTTCTTTAACTATTTTATTTAATTCTTGTATTCATTCTGCCCCCCCCCCCCCAGTAAATGTCTAACCCATATGTCTA